TACAGAAATCAATATGATAGCGACATATTTCAGATCCTCATAAACCTATTGTAAATGCCTTTACAGCAAATAAAATGAGAACTAAAATTAGCTATGTATGAGGTCAAAAGTCGCTAAGAAGGAAGTAAACGAGAGACGCTGTAAAATTCTCCCAAGGAAATTGAGATAAGCGACAATAGGGAACAAACCGTGTGCTTGGATCAAGCCCAAGCTGAAGATGGTACATAAGGGCCTCCCTCAGTGGCAGGAGGCATCAGACCTCCCTCACCTCTCCTGAGTCCTCCCTCCTCACTTCGCCTGAGTCCTCCCTATTGACACCATGGGTTGCTGTGGCTGTGGTGGCTGCAGCAGTGGCTGCGGCGGTGGCTGTGGTGGCTGCAGCAGTGGCTGCGGCGGTGGCTGCGGCGGTGGCTGCGGCGGCTGCTCCAGCTGCAGGTCCTACCGGGTGGGCTGCTGCTCCAGCTGCTGCCCCTGCTGCTGCGGCTGCTGCGGGGGGTGCTGCAGCACGCCCGTGATCTGCTGCTGCCGCCGCTCCTGCGGCTCGTGTGGCTGCGGCGGTGGCTGCGGGAAGGGCTGTTGCCAGCAGAAGTGCTGCTGCCAGCAGAGGGGCGGCTGCAAGAAGCAGTGCTGCTGCTAGGCGGGCTGCTTGGCTCTGCCCCTGGAAAGGTGGCCCTTTCCTGTGCTTAGGTCTTTAGACCTTCTGTATTTTCATCTCTTCTGTTTCACCTAAACATTGGGCCATGTGATTAAGTAGAAATGCACCCGATTAGACGTCAGAAGCCCAAATTCGAGTCCATGCTTTGCCAGAGCAGCCTGACCGCAGACAAGTCGCTAGCCTTCCTGAGTCTTGCTTATCCATGCACAAAATAATAAGGTTGAACTAAGAATCTCCAAGGACCGTTTCAGCTCTAACAACACGTGAATCCGATTGAGTTCTCAAAACTAAACTCATAGGCTCTCCATCGTCACACTCTAAAGATTTCTCTTATATACCTCATACTTTTTCTCTTATGTGCCTTGGCTATAGTGGGCATTAAAATCTGTTCATACAAATAAAAATCACCCTGAGTCCAATACAATCCAACAATCATAATCTGCACTGCAACAAAAACAGGCCACAGCTCACCTCATGAGGGTGCAAAAATTCACATTAATGAGCTCGGTGGAATGAAATAATGCTTTTTAATATATTCTATTTTTTTGCAACATTTACTTTGTGGAACTTCTGCACTTACATAGCTGCTTATATAGGTTATATACTTGACATTTCTTATAGATTCCTACTTTTCCCTTATTTTCTTAAATATAATTTCTTAATAAAACACTAGAAAAATATAGTATTTCACTGTGTTCGTTTTGATTTGTTTTGGTTGTTGTTTTTGAGGAAGGTGGACAGTGATGCAACTGATGTTTGGCAACACGTGTCGAAAACTTCAGGAGGAGGTGGAGGGTGATGACCACAGCGGTGGCAGTGGTGTCCTGGACTACAGCTGTAGTGGTGTGTGCTCGAACGGAATCACTCCAGAGGCGGTTTCCTGGTTTCCCTGCCTTTCTGACTACCCTGCCCTTCTACAGGCAACAGCTCCCCCTGGGCAAGTAAAGCAGTCATGCCTTGTCCTGGGAGGCATTTCTGCAGATGAGCCTGGTGCCTGCTCCTCTAGCCCTTCCAGCAATTTTGTGCATGATTCCCCAATTACATCTCTTCCTGCTTAACATAGTTAGAATTTTGATTTTCTGCAACTGGTTGACCCTGGTACAATAAATGCTCTTTCCACCATCTTTTTATGTCAAAGGCTAGCCATCCTCCAAAGCCCATCTTGAAGGAATCCTTCCTTTTCCTGAACTCTGAGGCTTTTGCTGTTTTGACATCCCATGTGACTAGTTATTCATGTACTTTTCTATCTTCGATTTTAGTAACGTTCAGTTTTAGCTCTTTTGGTTGCAGAAAAATAGAAACCCAATAAAAGGAGTATAAAGGGATAATTTATTATAAGAATATGCAGGCATGTCACAGAAAACAAAGACAGGACCTGCAGTCACTCTTCACAGGGTAGAAATCAAGAAGTAAAAAGCCGCGGGGAAGCCTGGCAGCCACCCTTTCTCTGCCTCCCTCTAAAGCCACTTGGTCTGTCACCTCCTCTCCCTGTACATCTGTTTCTCCTTCCTCTCTCTTTCCTACTCCCCTTTCCTCTCTCATCCATTCCCTCCTCCTTCTCCTTCTTTTTGTGCAGACCAGTTTCTCCGTTTCTCCAGGCAGAGCTCATGAATTTAAATGATATGGTAGAGACTGCTGGTTGTCAACCCAATACCCTCTTGTCTCATTCCTCCCTCCAACTTTAAGCAGGCACAGGCCACTTGGAATAAATACTACATTTCCCATGTTGCCACCTGGCTGAATTCTAAGCAATGAGATGGCTTTTTAGAAGCCTTTAAAGCCTCTTCCCTTATCCTTCTGAGCAGAGAGAAGATATGATGGTTGCCACATTTTGAACATGAGAATGAAGAGATCAAACAGATGGTGGATCCATGAGATGGAAGGATACCCGAAGAAGTGGAGCTACAAGTCCAGTCTGGAGTACCTACCTCCAGACTTTGTGTGTATGAATAACTATATTGCTATCTTAAGCCATTGCTATTTTGAATTTCTTTTCACATGTAACTAAGCTTAATCCTAACTGATACACATGTCCTCCCATTGCATACATGACAGAGAATAACTAGTATCTCTTGGTTTTAATTCCAAGCTCCTGGGAGAGATTGGAAGAGCTTAGCTTCTGTATTTACCAGTATTCCAATCAGCAATGGCCAGGACAGCAAAGTTCCATAATGAGATACAGAAGTTCTATGCATGTAAGTTGCAGGGGGTTGTTTTTACGGAAGGAGATGTATTTGTTGGGCAGATACTAAAAAGTTGTCTACCATACTCCATACTCTTCAGTTATAAGCTAATTTCCTTTTCATCTTTACCTTAAATATCATCTTCATAACATACAGACTATATGTCTACATTTTCACAGAATTCTTCATATACTTACTTTTAGCCACAAGTGTAAGGAGTACCAGACTCAAGTGGAAATAAGTTATGTTACGCCTACTAACAAAACCACATGGCTTACTTAGTTTGGGTCTTCTGACAAACACTCTGGAAATCAGACTTTTGATTCTCCTGGTCAGGTAGAATCCAACCAGTTCAGGTCTCTAGATACAAAACAATTACCCAAACAGTTCTTCAGTTCAACACCTTATGAAGACTGCAAAAAGATTTGAAATTGTAGAGCCCACATTCCAAAATAAGTAACTACTACTTCCCATGCATTCAACTCGGTAATAAATACATAATTTATTTATATAACATTCTGTATTTACATAATCATATAATTTATATGACTCAGTGGGAGGGCAATTTTAAATTGTTTTTATAAAATAAAAAGTATATCTCCAGAAAATTATGTAGTTGTCCTAGAAATCTCAACCATGCAGAAGTATACGAATCATACAACGGAAGCATCTCCCATCTCGCAACCTAGCTGCAGTGGTGTTATTTCAGTCATTCTCAGTGCTTTGTGTGTTGTGGTGATGGCAGATTATTTTTAATCCTTTGGTACGAAGAGTCATTTCCAGCTTGAGCCCCAGACTGGAACTAATGTTTCAGTGCCCGTTACCAGGGACACCCAGTGTCACAGGCTGCGTGCCCTCCTGCCGTTGCAGGACGGGCTGCTGCTCTCCCAGCCCATCGCACCTGAGCTTGTGGACACCACTGACTGCATTGCTGCATTCGCCAACTCCCATTCCCGGTCGCATTTGCTGAGTCCGTGCTCTGCGCTGAGCTGGGGATTACACAGAAGTAGAAGGAAGGCTCTATAGATATCAGAGCTGCCTAACATTCCATTCTTTTCTTCTAGGCATTTTTTTTTTTTTGTATTTGTTTGTATTTTACCCCGCACATGAAATCAGGCATAACTGAGTGACTCGTTTAGAACGGAAGTGATGCGGGTCACTTCTGGGCAGAAATGTTTAGATCCAGAATGTGGCTCACCGCATTTTTGTACCCTGCCTCTGCGATCATGAAAGCCTGGATCGAGATGCTGCTGCCTCCAGTCTGGGTTTCTCAGTAACTACCATGAGCAGAGCCCACATGTTGGTCATGATGGTCAGCGAGCTTACGTGAGCGCTTTGTATTTTAAAGCCTATCCCAACTGATAAAGTCTTCTCTTGTAAGAGTTCACAAACCAGCAGAGAGATAATGTGGAACCACAGTCTGGAAATGGAAAGCACTGTACATGGCCAATTAAGTGTTGGAGGTTTGAATAAAATAAGATACAGTAATCTCCCTTCCAATCCCTCTCCTATTGCTACCTTTCAGTCTGGTAGTATTAGCCAAACCTCCCGCATGTCTTAGGTGGGCTCTCTCCAAATGGATTGGTCGACAAGACCAGAATTAATACGACATCAAAAAAATTTTTATTGTGTGCACGTGAACATACAGCCTGAAAGTGAACCTTAATATTTTGACTAGGACATTTGCAGCAGAGAAAATACTTTTCTCTCAATCTCATACATGTTCATTTTCTTGCTAAACAATTTTAAAATAAGATACTTCCATAGCTGACAATAATAGAAACAAAACAGGGAAAATTTGTTTATGTTAACTGGATAGTCTTATTTTTACTTTTTATAAGGCATACTAGGAAAGGAGTATGTTAGAGGAGCTCATCTTAAATCCACCTTTTTTTAATCTGCCTATTTTCATGGGGAAATTTATCTCACAGAAACCACAGAGATTTTTCCGCCTTCCTTCCTTCATCCCGTCATAATAGAAACTTACTCTTAGTTCCCATCATAGTTGTCATAATAGCGTCCTGCCCTATTGGACTCTGAATTACTTTCCACAATTCATTTTTATAACTGCTAAACTTTAACCAGAAGGTTGGGATAAAAGGCAAGACAGTGCGGCACAATCACAGTTACATTGACAAGGTTCCCACCTGGACGGGGAGGCCATGACCTGCTATGAGGGATGGACGTCCTGCAATGGGGTCTCCCTGCTGATCCTCCTCATCTTGGGAGTGGCTCTCAACGCGGTACCTCTGATTTTCAGCTTAACTGAGGAAGACCGATTTCCCCAAAATCCCGTCTCTTGCTTTGAGTGGTGGTTCCCAGGAATTATAGGAGCAGGTGTGATGGTGAGTGATATTTATTTGACTCGATTTGGAGAAGGGCCTGCCTACTTCACCAAACTCCTGAAGGCTATCTTTCAGCCTTGCAGTTAGTTACGTCTTGGTTTAGGTTACAATTAGGAGCAGGGATAATGTATTAATTTATATTGCTCATCAGTGAAGAGTGGCAAATTAAACTATGTGGTACAGGCTAGGGAGCTTGGGCAAAAAATACTAAATGGGTCAAAGTTGGTTGGGTTATTACTTCTCCCATTTCTTCTCATGTAGCCTGCTCTTCTAAGCTTTATTGTTAGTATTGGGGACCTTCCTGAATTCATTCCCCCGACTCTTCTTTGCTCCACACCAGTCTCTAAGTATTTACAGGGGATGCAATAGGAGTGGGAAGTTGCCCAACAGGAATGAGGAGAAACCTTCCCGCGCTCCATGACTATCCGGGGTGCTGTGAGGCACGAATGTTGCGTGGTCTGTAGCTGAAGGGAGTTTACCTAAGAGGTAGGAACTTGAAATCCTGGGTCTCTGGCCTCAAGGCCTTTTTGACTCAAGCTATTACATAGATCCTAGACCTAGAACATCATTGAGCTTGTTTAATAGTTTGATGATTACTAATCTTGCTGCCTGTATTGAAATCTGCAGCAGAGCAGTGCCATGTGGAAACTGCTGAATGTAACCGATCGTGAATCACCTGAGGCACCTGCAACAGTTAGATTTACAGACCTTCTCCTGGGAATTTTGCAGTAGGCCTCCGCAGGACCCATTATAGAGTGGAATACTCTTTTCAGATCTGGCAGAATATTTCAGCTATGGTTCTGTTTCCAATATATTATCGTGAACGAATCATTTATCCTGTGGTTTTGTTTCCATGTTCGTAAAATAGTGATGTGGATGTTGAAGTTGAAAACTCAGCATCCAGGAGACTTCTTTTTGTCTGTTAATACCACCAGGGGTCTAGTCAGTGCCAGAGAAATGAGTTTGAGTGGGTGTGTGTGTGTGTGACAGCTGCAAAGACCAATATTATCAGTGTTTTAGAGATAAAGAAACATGGAGGCAAATTTTAAAGAAATTCAGGGCCGAGCATGGTGGCTCATGCTTGTAATCCCAGCACTTTGGGAAGCAGAGGTGTGAGGATCACTTGAGCTTAGGAGTTCAAGACCAGACTGGCAAGATAGTGAGACTCTGTCTCTACAAAAAATTAAAAATCAGCCAGGTGTGGTGGTGCATGCCTATAGTCCTAGTTACTCTGGAGGCTGAGACAGGAGGATCACTTGAGCCCAGGAGTTCAAGGTAACAGTGAGCTATGATAGTGCCCACTGCACTCCAGCCAGGCAATAGAACAAGAAAAGAAAAAAGAAACTCAGGATATAATTTTTACTTGAATCACCAATTCTTAATGATGATGAAAGAAAGAAAGAAGGAAAAGAAAGAAAAGAGGAGAAAAAGGAAACTCAGACACAGTTTTTACTTGAATCATGAACTCTTAATGATGATCAGTTGCTGCTACTGGTCTTATCCCAGACTTATACAAAAACCCTGTTAGGCCATTATGTATTAAACTCCAGACAGGACTCCATCCTTTAGCTGGTACACTGGACTTGAGACCACTCTGGCGTAAGAAAGCCATTCTAGGAAGCATCCTCCAAAGGTGATGGCTTCGTTTCCTTTACCATCACAAGCAATGTCTTCACCTGCTTCAGGAAGAAAGAGCTAATTAAAGGAAAATTTGGGGCTGTTTTCCTCAAACTGCCATGAAAGTTCTCTTCCAGGCTAAAAGAGAGAAAACCCGTTGCTCAATAAGGAAGCAACTGTAAATCCTTGCGTCTGTTTTCCGCCCTGTAGACGGCTTCTCTCCTTGAGCAGTGTTAAGTCTCCTTTGCATTCGCTTACGTCAGAAGCACAAGGAGCTGGCTGAGCATAACTTAACGATGGCAATTTCCATGAAGCTCTTAACAGTTCCTGACTTAGGACAATCCACTTAGAATAACTCACGTAGCTTTAGATATAAATTCATTCTGCCCCAAACCCCATGAGAATTAAAAAAATTTTTTTTTTGTACTAGCATTAAAGGAGCCTGCGGTGGTGACGGCACACGCCTGCATCACTTGCATTCTTCATTTTAGGGAGGTGGACGTCTCGGTGGGGGGAGAGAGGAGACAAAGACACAGAGACAGACAAAGGGGCACAAATCTTCCACTTATTGTCCACCTGCAAAGTGCCAACTACCGGGTTCATATATTACAGTCCTATTTCATTTAATCTCTGTAACAACCTGGGCAGATATTATCATTTGTGTTTTACAGACCAACAAACAGAAGGCTAGGAATGTTAACAAGGTCACATAGTGGGCGAGAAACCCAATTCCAGATTTATGACTCCAAAGCTCTGCTTTTCCACCAGTGTTAGTACCACAGTCCTTAACACCTGTCTCGGGCTGCCAGAGGTGGAAGAGGCAATCCATAATTTAATTCATAGTTAAGTGACCAGGAAACTGAATCATACGTAGAAAGGTTATATAAACCTATAATCTGGACTTCCTTGTTCTGCAGCTAAATTTACTTTACCACCCTCAATAAATAATGAAACGTATCAATGCCAGCCTGTCTCTATTACTCAGTGTGACAGAAGATCCTTAAAGCATCAAACAGCCTTTTGAAAAGTCCAATATATACTTTAAAGATAAAGCCTCAAACTCTAGGCTATGCCCACAAGCAAATGGGTGGGTGGCAGGAACACTCAGAATACAAGTGTGTTTTCATGATCCTCAGCTATATAGAGAATGTGGGAGAATATTTTTTCCAAAGGGAATTATGTCCTTTCCAATGTCCATCAAAATACTGACAAGTTCAAAATATTGAACTCTCAATACACTTGCAAATAGAGAAGAAATCACTGCCTGGGATGAGCACTTTAGACATAACTTGAAATCTTTCCAAACTTGCTATAGCATTTCAAATTAGTATTTTTTCAAAAACAATTATTAGCAGGAAGCAGTTAATAATACAAACTATGGAATTCATTATTGATTACTTCATGAAATATATTCATTTTATGGTTTTATGATTTACCCAAAACAGAGGTGAACCTTTTCATCTTTTGAAACCATGACTAAAGGTAAAAATGTTACATACGTAGTTATCTTTAACTTACTATCTGCTAAGTGGAAAAATCAATACAGATTGTTATTTGAGTATTTAAAAAAACCCCACATTTTTCCTTGAAAACTATAAACAGAAAGGCCATTTTATTTTCTATGAAGTTAATTTTAAGCCTCATCTTAACCATGTTAATTCATTGAGCTCACTTATTACATAATAGTAGCACATCAAGGTCAATTACTGACACCTTAATAGAGAACAAATTATTAAAGTTAAACAGATTAGAAGATACTATTCACGAGAAACATTTGCAAAATACAGTTTTTATATTTATGATGAGCTACAGCTTTGTGTGTTATGTTTAAGTACTTAGAGAATTCCCAAATCTTCAAATTTTATCACAGAATTTTTAATCGTCTAAAGCTTTTTTGTAGTTCATTTGTAAAATCTTATAACTTAATCTGAAAACTTTATAAAAGTATGGGTTTCTGTAAATGAAAAATGAACAATACTTCTTTTCCTTATAAAAACAACAGACCAATAAGACTTCTAATTTTACAAAAACTCTTAGGCATTCAACTATGTTTAGGAATTGAAGAGGAAGAGTATTCTCATGATTACTCATTTTGACAGGAAATTATCTGGAAGATTTATAATGCAGTCACATACATTCACACACACACACACACAGTCTCTCTCTTTCACATTTTAGGGTCCATCCCATTAAAGACCCCCTCCAATTTCTAAAGTTTTGAAGGGGCAAAATGGTTGAAACACAGTGAGTTATCAAATTACCCATAATCGACGTAACAAAGATGTGTTAACATACCGTGAAGTCAACTGGGTGGTGATTCATACACTATAAGTTATTGTTACTTTATAAAACCCTTTTGCAAGGGAATCATGAAAGTAAATATTTAGCATCTCTGAAATAAAGTAATCCTCAAGAAAGTTAGCAGAGTTAATTTACACCGATAAGGAAAATGGCATGATTTATCCATTTAAGTCGTAATGTAATGTTGGTCTACTTTCTTTTAAAAGATTCATGAATTTTCTAAAACAGTGGTTGGCAAACTTTTTCTGTAAAGAGATAGATAGTGAATATTTGAGGCTTTGCAAGCCAGCCTCTTCAACAACTATTCAACTCTACTGTTGGTGTGCAAAAAGTAGCCAAAGACAATATTGAAATGAAGGGGCATGGCTGTGTTCCAATAGAACTTTATTTACAGAAAGAGAGGTGGTGGGCCATAGTTTGCCAGTTCTTGTTCTAAATGATTTGTTTTGTAAGCTCAGAAGGCCAGTGTAGCTTACAATAAAAGAGGCTTAGTGCATGAATGCTAATACCTATTTGGGGGCTAAAATTTCTTTTCCCCTTTCTTTTTTAGAGACAGGTTCACACTGCTACCAACCTGGAGCACAGTGGTACCATCATAGCTCACCATTACCTTGAACTCCTAGGGTCAAGTGATCCTCCTGTCTCAGCTTCCCAAGTAGCTAGATCTATAGTCATGCACCACCATGCCTGGCTAATTTTGTAGAGACAGGGTCTTGCTATGTTGCCCAGGTTGGTCTTGAACTCCTAGGCTCAAATGATCCTCCCACCTCGGCACTCCCAAAGTGCTGGGATTACAGGCATGAGCCACCATACCCAGCCTTTCTTTTCTTTCTTCTTCTGGGTTTTCAGTTGTGCCCTGGGGTTGCTGGGCAGCCATATATGTGGCCTCTAAACTATGAGGGTATTGGTGTTCAAGGAAATGTGTAGGCAAAGTTTGACAACAATACAAAGTGACATGGGGGCAGCACCCGATCAGATGGGGTGAAGTTTGTCAGAAAAGCTGCCTCGTAAGAGGTGTAAACCTTAAACCTGTTCTGAAAGAAAAAAGGGAGACGTGGCCATGGAAAAACAGATCAGAGAAGGAGCAGTTGGGAGAACAATGACCTGCGCAAGGGCGGTGGTTGGGGACGAGAATGAACAAACTGTAGGCAGGAATAGGGGAGAATTGTAACAATTGAGCCAGCGTGGAATAGTGGGGAAGAGTCTGGGGTCTGCAGCCCAAATGCTGAGCTTTGAATCACAACTCTCCCACGCTCGCAAGTTACCCAGAATTTCTGTGCCTTGGTTTTCTCACGGGTAAAATGGCGATAATAGTAGCACCTACCTGATAGGATTGTTATGCGGATGGAATAAACTGAAGCATGCACAGCACCTGTAACAGCGCCTGGCACGTGGTTAGAGCTCAGGAAAGTGTTAGAAAACGGGAGCAGAAGGAGAGAGAAAATGACTCGCGGACAGCTGTGCTGAGACGGCAAAAACACTTAGAGCTAAAATTTCTCAAGTAGCAAGAAGTAATTTACATTCCACCCTTCAGTGATACAAAACTCCTTCCAGGAAGAATTTCTAGTCATAGCTGTTGAAACCCAAGGCCTGAGAACGTGGCGTCCTTTCTTACAGCCTTCCTCGGCCATATGCATTTCCCTTAACACAGAACGCAGGCTATACCAGACTGCTGCACAGCAGGGCAAAGGGGGGTCATTGCGTATCACAGACACAGGAGCAAAAAGGGGAATGTGGAACCAAAAGTAATTCTCAAATATAAGGTTGGGGAAGCCAGCGAGATGGCAGGGACCCTGGGAGAAGAGCGACGTGAGGGGGAGGGCGTGGCGATGTTCCCAACCGCTGGGCAAACAAAGCCATCAATTTCTTTCTGGAGGTTTGCCAGACTGATTCAGACAACTTATGGGAAACTGGATAAGTGGCTGTGGGTTGTAGTAATAAAAAAAGAAAAAAAGTGAACTTTGGATGATGCAATCGATTCTTTCAGGAATATTTGTTCCAAAATGATGCGTAAAGAAGTCATCCTAATCTATTTGAAATCCAAGTCTCTCTGCAGATGACTCGAAGTAAACTAGGGATGTAGGTGGAAGACTTTAAAACTGCTATCTTGAATCCCCCCTGCACCCTTTAAGCTTTACGGTTGAAATTGGGATCACAAAGTTCAGAAGACCAAGGATACTGCCAAATTTCCTTTTTGTTCTCTTGAGCCTTGATTTCCCAAAACTGGTAGTAAGTGGAAGGCGGAGATTACTGCTCCTTCGTCTGATAAGAAGTAATAACACTCATCTTTCCTGTTGATGTAATTTCCAGGTCATTCCAGCAACGATAATGTCCTTGGCAGCAAGAAAAAGAGCGTGCTGCAACAACAGTGTCGGGGTGAGTACGGAGCGACTGGCTTGGATGCAGAAGTGCATAGATAGTTATTGACATCTAAGCAAAGCCACCCTGAGTCATCTGCTGAGTCACAGTGGGGCTCCACCGGCAGGCCACCGTCCTAGAAACATGCTATTTCGCATGATTATATGGTAACGAGGGAAAGTGAGAAGGCATTTCTTTTTCCCATAAAAATGAAGCTTTGGAGCTAGCCTTCAGTCCTTCCCCCAATCTTCGGTTCACCAATCTAAAGGTTTTCAAAGACAGGTTTGTTAGTCACATCCAGAGCTGTAATCCATTTCATAGTACTCAAACACTTGTTAGTTTTGTGGTGCGTATAAAACATTTAGGGAAAACATATTCTCTTTTCTCTCATGTATATGAAAGATTGGTCTGCTAGGAATCGAATAATTGCCCTTATCCAGTTAAAGGAGATGCCAGTTATTTTTTTTTTCAAACATTTGATACCTACCTACTATGCATGAAGTTGTAACTAAATTATAAGTAAATTTATATTCATTAACCTAAATGTCACTCTGCTCAGAACACTTTCAAATAAGCTATCTCATTTAATTCTCTCAAAACCCTTAGATGGGAAAGAGTGAGATCTGTGTTTTACTGACCAAGAAACTGATGCTCAGAGAGAGTGAATACTTTGCCAGTGTAGCACAGCAGGCATGTGGATTTCTGACGAGATCGGGCACATTCAGGATGGATTTCTATCCAGGTCCACCAAACTCCAAAATTGACAGTCTTCACACTCTTCATACCATGAACTTTGCTGTTAAGTAACAGCGAGGGCTCTCGTAACTCCTTAAGGAAGGATAGATCCCTAACAAGCGCAGTAAACATGCCTGGCTGAGCTTGAGGTTTTAGAGCAAGGGTTCTCAGACACATGGGAACATTAGAATCATCTGGGGAGATTCAAAAAATACCAGTGCCGGCCGGGCGTGGTGGCTCACGCCTGTAATCCTAGCACTCTGGGAGGCCGAGGCGGGTGGATTGTTTGAGCTCAGGAGTTCGAGACCAGCCTGAGCAAGAGCGAGACCCCGTCTCTACCAAAAATAGAAAGAAATTAATTGGACAGCTAAAATATATATATAGAAAAAATTAGCCGGGCATGGTGGCACATGCCTGTAATCCCAGCTACTCGGGAGGCTGAGGCAGAAGGATTGCTTGAGCCCAGGAGTTTGAGGTTGCTGTGAGCGAGGCTGACGCCACGGCACTCTAGCCAGGGCAACATAGTGAGACTCTGTCTCAAAAAAAAAAAAAAAAAATACCAGTGCCGTGGTGGCCCCCAGAGATTCTGCATCAGTATTTTCCAAAAGCACCCAGGGTGATTCTGATGTGTTTCCAGGTGTCAGGATCACTAGTAAAGAGAATAGATATTTATATCCGTAACAAAATATTTTTTTAAACTTCCTTTTTTTCTGACATTTGATCTATTTATCTAGGATTACAATAATTACTTTAATTATGTCTAGTTTATCTTTGTTCTTGACACATTTTAGGTATTCAATAAATATTACTTTTCCATCTCCTCTCCCTGTCATTTTTCTCTATAAACTGTAATAATTTGGAATTGACTTGTATCTCTTCTATATTGTACTTGCAACATTCTTGAGAGAGAGAGAGACATCCTGAGATATTTCTGAATCCCTTAACTCAAAAATATCAAAACACTTATATAGGTTTTTCCCTCAAATCATATTTAAGAATCTATTTTATTTCCTGCACATATTCTTTCATACTTCTCTTCAGTGATCACTTAAGTGTTCTCTCTCCTTTGAGACACACCAAGGGAGGAATAAGGAAGCCACTTTCGTGCCTGGCTTACCTCACTAGGAGGTTTTGCTCCCCCATATCCGCCTTGAAAATAATCCAAAGTCAGGCTTCAGCAAAATTACAGATTATTACATGCTGGGGAGCTACAGGAGCTCCTGGAATGCCAAGGGGGTACCGCACTGGTCATTTAATCAGAATCGCCCGTTTATATTGATTAAATATCATAAAAAAGTTCTTAGCAGCTTTTCTCACTTGTTGGCAGCCATGTATGTTTAAGTCCTACCTGGCGTCTTCCAGGTCTAGATAAGACTAAGGCATCATAAAAATGACAAAGGCTAAATCTTGGCAGGGAGAGAAAGGGGTCACCAAGGCTTGTTCCCTATTTTAACCGTTCCTGGCTTCTTCCCCTTTTCCAGTTCTTGATTTTGTTCCTGAATGCAAAATGGCTTTGCTGAATCATTTAAATGAATCCCCACTCTACAGGAAATACAGACGCCCAGATCACTTTCTGCAGCCAGACTCCCCTGCAGTGACGAGAAGTCAGAAGTAATAGATGATCAAAAAATAAACACAGTGGCACCTCTTGATGAGTACATTGAAGTAACTTGCATAGGTGACAGTAGTGTGGGAGAACCAGGCCTTGAATTAGACTCCAAATCCATCATTCCGTGCTTCCAGCTGGAAGAAGTGTTAGCGCAGTGATTAAAACATTGGTATCTTAGTACCAGTGTTTCCCAGCTGTGAGTCCTGACGAGTTTGTCAACCTCTAAGAAATGCAGTTTTCTCATTCATAAAATGGAAATGATAATAGTACCTATCTTTTGGAGTTATTGAAAGAATTAAATGAGATAATACATGTGAAGTACAACGTCCCTCAACACAACTATATAGGTAGCCACTTTATTCTGCCTACCCTCTAAACGAAGGTCTGGAGAGCACAACACATACATCCTCTGGGAGCTGCAGTACTATTCTACCAAAGGAAAAGAAGTATCCCCTCACTTCATTTCTACTGATTTTGCAGTAATCACAATCATCATGGACTAACAACGTCCCTGAAGCAACATGAAGAACTTATTTTTGGAAAAACATGAGCATTAACTTTTGAACACAGTGGTTCTGAACCGGAGGTGATTTTGGCCACCCACCCCGACCCCAAGGGGATATTTGGCAATGTCTGGAGACAACATTGTCACCACCGGGCTGGGAGTGGGGGGAGCGGTGCTGTTGGCATCTAGTGGGTAGAGACCAGGGCTGCTGCTGAACGTCCTGCACAGGAACAGGCCCCGGGAGCAGAGAGCAAGATGCCCACACACCAGTAGTGCCGAGGGCGGGGAGTCCCGCGCCAGCTCTGTGCTGTTGACTGGCACGGCAGGTTGCCGGCCACCAGACACTTGGAGCATCAGGGCCAAATTTAGATTAAAGATTTGCGAGCCAAGACACCAGACATCGAAATGTGGGTGGTTAAGATCTAGTCAAGATTCTTTTAAGAAGGAAGTACACAAAATATGGAGGAGAAACTAGATGACATGAACAACGCTCAGGAATATAAAGTCGAGGTTTTTGAGTCAGTGGCAAGCCCAACCACCAAATGGCAGACTTTGCCCTCTGCATTCTTTTATAATTCACACCTAATCAAACTGTGATCTTACGATCTAAGACTATGGGGTGTCTAGAGAATGGCAGCAGTTGATGTAAAAAGACTGCATATGTTGGTGAAGCTTGAAACAGACCCAGAACAGGTAATAACATGTGCAAATGGCCCTATTTTATTTTTTAGATGTTTCTTTCATCGCTCTTCAGTATAATCACAGTCATTGGTGCTGTGTATTGCATTTGGGTGTCTTTCCTGGCTCTCTTAGAAGGTCCTCTTGTGTGTAACTCCCAAGGCAACAGTACTGCCAATTGTCAATTTTCATTCACAAACTTAAGGTAAGTAACCTGATTTTCCTTGTCTTACCATCTCACACAGCGGCAGCTAGTTAGATGAGAATAGCACAGTACTGAAACAATGCCTCTTTTTTCCTTGATGCAACCGCTGGGACAAACAGATTCTTAGGGATTTAGCACATTAATCCCAATTCGCATAATCTCATACAGAAATGGAAGAATCGCTGCATTTAGAATGCTCTGGGTATGGTCTTATCTAAAAGGACTAGTTGATCTCAAATGGCTTATGCCTGTCTTTTGCAAATCTATGGTTACATATGTGTATATATATAAAAAAATCTCTGGAAATATACACCAGAAACTTAACTTTCATCCTTGAAGAATGGTAAAGGGGGATTTCCTGGGGGAGTGAAGGAAACGTTTACTTTCCACACTTCCGAATTAAAGTTGTAAACCATCAGCACATATCACATGTATAATTTTTTAAATTTAATAAAAACACAATAAATAAAATGTAGAGTCTTGCCCGTAGGCCCTAAATGAAATAAAGCAGCTAACAGATTCGTGCAGACCTTACCGTAGGCATGGGAATGGATCAACATTTTAAGTCATGTAATAATAAATAATACTGAAGCATTACATGTAAATGGCTCATTTTCATCTTTTAAGATGGTTCTGCGACTAAATTTAGGCGCAATTTGTAAAAACTGAAAGAAAAACAATCCAATGCATTACCTATCTATATAGCTGCCCAGTTGGTAAATAAGCAGAATTTACTTTTGCCGTTACATAAAAAATTGTTTTCCCCCTTTCCCTTACCTTGCTACATTAAAAAAGTCTCTCAAAATTTGCATAGCACAGTTGTTTTGAATCAAAACCCAAAGAAATTCCCCTTACTAATAGATTTGAAGTAGACCACAGATTTCTACCACAGATGCTATACACATTTGAAAGGCAATAGCCCACAATGTACCAGAGCTCAGAAAATTCCCAGTCTAGCTGGGGAGATGGACTATGCCAGCAAACAGTTCCAACAGTGATCCTATGCTTGCTGCAAACTTCGCAAAGCAGACTCATATTCCATGTACTGAACATACTGTTGTCCTCTCCTATGTTGAACGTCAGCTATTGGTATTCAGAAGTGCAAACTCCCTAAAAACACTTCATCCTTACTCTGTAATAAACTAAAGAAAAATCATCTTGAGATAGATGTGTGAGGACTAAAAGTTTCTCATTTTCCATAGCCCTGTTAGAACAGGCACAAATCACTTCAAGCAGACATATTTAAAATGTCTTTTGTGAGCAAAAAGTGTACATTTGGTTTTAGAGTAGATGCCACACTGCAGTTCTGCACTAGGAACTGAGCTCCTTTAGAGGAGGGGGGATCCTTTCTTTTGTTTCCGTATCTTTAGCAAATAGAAGGGTGCCTGCATAAATAGGCCAAGCCGCACAAAACTATTGATATTCAATCCTTGATGTCATACAGTAACAGCAATTTCATATGGTTCAACCTAAGAGTAGATGTACTATAGAAATGCTTGTTAAATAATGGGATATATAATGAACATAAGTTTTATCACTATGAAGGTTTATAAACACATGCTTAGAAACCCTGTCTTAGCGATAGTTTCTGGGCACAGTATTTCAAAAGTGTGTTCCATCTTACTATACTTGTTCCTTTCTGGGCACAATGCTGCATTCCTTTGGTCAGGGATATACCTGAATATCTTATTTTTATCTTTTCTCCTGTTTTCCAGTGACATTCATCGAGAATCCTTCGAGCTGCAGTGGTTCCTCAATAACTCCTGTGTTATTGAAATTCTTAGCAGTTTCAATAACCCCACCAGCAGTGACATCACGGCCCAACATACAATTATTCACTTCTCAGTATTTTTAGGTCTATTGCTTGTTGGAATCCTTGAAGTCCTGTTTGGGCTCAGTCAGATCATCATTGGTTTCCTTGGCTGTCTGTGTGGAGTCTCTAAGAGAAGTCGAGTTGTGTAGTTTAATGGGAATAAAATGGAAGTACCAGTAGTTTGAATAATTTACGAATTAAATTCGAAATACACTCTTTAAGAAGTTCAGTAATAGAACATTATCTAGAAAGCTATATGAGTTCTTTTAGTCCGAAAAGTTGTTTTCAAAGTCAACAAAGTTGAGGTGATTAAAAAAAAAACCACCACCAGCTTTTCTCAGAGGAAGCATGTTGTAAATGGACAACACTTTCATTCAGAAAGGAAAGATCATCAGTGGTTGACTTTGGGGACAGGTGGAGAGAAGCTTTCGATCAGTTTTGTGTCTTTCCATTCTGTGCTATTTGAATTTTCTACCTCTATATTCTTGTGTGTGTAGAGAGAGGGGAAAAAGGAGATGGGGAGGAGGAGGAAGGCAGGATGAGAAGGAACAGAAGTCATCCTGGAAATACAAGTATGGAGCTTTTTTTTTGTATTTCTTTGTACTTAAAAAGAAGAAATATATAACTTGAATGTAATTAAGTCTTTAGATCTAGTTCCCAGCTTGCAGGAAACACTCAGACAAATCCCAAAGGTGGTACAGTAAACAAAGAATGGCCCTGTTTTCAATCAAAAAAAAAAAAATGTTACTAAAAAAAAAAAAACGGGCCTTTAATCCCAGAACTTTGGGAGGCCAAAGTGGGAGAATTGTTTGAGCCCAGGAGTTCCCTTCTCTACAAAAAATAAGAGAAAAGATTAGCTGGGTGCAGTGGCGCAGGCCTGTAGTCCCAGCTACTCAGGAGGTTGAGACAGGAGGATCACTTGAGCCCAGGAGTTCAAGGCTACAGTGATCTATGATTACACTAATGCACCCCCCAGCCTGGGTGATGGAGGGAAACCCTCATCTCTTAAAAAAAAAAAAAAAAAAAGGTGGGATGGGTTGAGTGAGGGAACCGTTCTAGATTAAGAGAACAAAGACATGCTTCAACTAAAAGCATTATGTGAACTTTATTAGGGATAATTGGGAGAAATATGTACAAGAATTGGGTTAGATGATATTTAGCAATTATTAATTTTGGTAAGACTGATAATGGTTTTTATGATTATACAAGCTGAATATCCCTTATCTGAAATGATTGGGACCAGAAGTGTTTAGGGTTTTGGATTTAGGAATATTTGCATATACATAATGAGGTATCTTGGGTAGGGGACCCAAGTCTAAACACAAAATTCATTTATGTTTCATATATACCTTATATATATAGCCTGAAGGTAATTTCACACAATATTTTTAATACTTTTGCACATGAAACAAAGTTTTCAGTGCATTTTGACTGTGACCTGTCACATGAGGGCAGGTATGGAATTTTCTACTTGTGGTGTTACATTGCTGCTCAAGAAGTTTCAGATTTTGGAGCATTTTCAGATGGAGTGTTTTGGATTTTCACATTAGGGATGCTCAACATGTATAAGGAAATGTCCTTATTTATTTTAGAAATGTGAACTTATATGTTTAGTGGGAAAATGTCATGTTTTTAAAATATGGCTAAAAAAGTAAAGCAATGGAAAAATGTTTACTGTTATGTTTAGGTGGCAGGTACATGGCAATTCATTATACTCTTCTATTTTCCTATGTTTACCTTTTTTAAAATAATAATTAAAAAGCAATACCTAGAAAAAACCAGTCTTTCAAAAGTTGGTTTCTCTATATGCCAATCTTTAAAAGACAGGATAGCAAAACAATTTGCCATATTAAAATGCTATAAAATAGACCAAACTAAGAATCTATAATCTTTTGAATGCTATCATTCCTGCATTTTATTTCAATTTGTTTAACGTTCACTGGGCTTAACGTTCTAGAAATAATTTATAATACCTATATTATAGCTGCCCAAATAAATGAGTATCATTGAAGAACTATAAGCCTTTTTTTCTGAACCCATTTACTATACAAAGACATTCTCCCTACACTCCTACAAATACTTATTTATCCTTAAGGCCCAGCTTAAATATCTTCTACTTGAGGAAGGCTTCCCAATGTGCATGATTCCAATAAACTAAGTTAGCACTTACCAAAGCCACCATTATCCGACCTGCCACAATGTGTGTTTCTGTACGTCCATCACGATGGAACTTAAAGAGAACAGGAACCCTGTCCTTCTTATCCGTTTATTCATTAGCCCTTTCCTGCTTCAGGTCCTTAGCCAGGCCTCTCCTGTCCCCATCCCCCATGCCCCAACCTGCCTCGTCTCTGGCTGAGTCCCCTTCATCCTTCAGACTTGAGCACAAATGCCACGTTTTCTGAGCGGCCATCCCTAACTGCCTACTGAAAAGTAGGTTTCCTTTACTCTCTCCTTTAGCATGCTCTCATTTACAGCACTTATCACCACGGCAAAGGCATTTTCATTTGTGCTTGCTTCACAAATTTCACCGTCCCCCATCAGACCATAAGCTCCACGGGCACAGGGACATGTTTCTTTTATTCAGTTCTGGTACAAGCAGTACCTAGGATAGTGCCTAGTACAAAGTAGGGTCATTTTAAGTATTAATATTTAGTCGAACGAATTAATGAATCCTATCTTCAGTACCCAGCTTTAGTGAAGACTCAATGCTTATTAAATGAATGTCAAACTGCTAATGCTCATGAAATTAAAACACGGGTAAAATGACGACTATGACAGCTCACTGTATTCAAATGAACAAGGGTTAGTGATGGTGTTTATGATTTTCTCGGCACGCTGGAAGTGGGAGAGAGATGACTCCAGTTCTCTACTGGGTCAGGAAAGACTTAAGCCTCCCATTTCAGAAGGCAAAAGAAAGGACAGACGGATGGATGGATGGATGGATGTCAGTAGCATAGTCGGCTGAAAAAGCTACGGAGTTATTTCTTCACTATTTTAGTCTTCCAGAAACTGTTACCATGGATTAAATGTCTAAAGCCTACAGGCCACCTGACATTAGCGTCGTTTGGGGGCATGCCATCTCGGGTCTGGTACCTACACTTGCAAATCCATTTCTGTACATATAACAGTGTACACACCCCCATACCCCAACACACAAAATGCACCCAGTTGTTTGCAAAGCTGTTTTTTAACTTTCACTTGTATCCTCAAATTCAATCTCATTTTGGGATCTTTATACTTTTATTTTTTACTGTATCTGCCATCTAAAATGCTCTCCTCTCCCCATCCTTCAGCATATATCTCAAGTTTCTCTTTCTCAAAGTTCTGCTTTTATAACCCTCTAATTCTTTAATAAGCCCAACCACTACCCCACCCCCCGCTCCATTAATCTGCCAATTCCTTAAGAGCAGGAGCATTTGTGGCGTATCTTCTATAACTGCTTCGTTCTTAGGTCAGCGTGTGCACACATAAGTCTCTTTATTGAGATGATATTATAAGTAAAAGAATATTTATGACAAATTAAACATTTCTGAACTTGAAGCCCACAAAAACAATTAAATTTCAATGTCAAATACAAGATGAGTATCCCTAATCTGGAAATCAAAAATCCAAAATGCTCCAAAATCCAAAACTTTCTGAGTACCAGTAAGACACAAGTGGGAAAGTCCACACCTGATCGCGTGACGGGTTGCAGTGAAAACACAGGTGCGCAATAGTTTATTCAGCATCCCAAAGAGAAAAAGGACGCTCTCAGCCCCCTTCAGCTGTGATACATCTTTTCCACACATGCCCAGATTCCCCCAGGCAAGCACCCCCACAGAGCATAATAAAATGGCATGTGTGCAGGCTGTAAGCACCAATGCCACTGCCTCACGTGGGGCCAAGACCTCCGAGCATTACTGTGTTTCTTTGCTTATTCTCAGCTCTGTGGTGTAAAGATACTGTAGAAAATGTCGAAAAGGTCTGCAGGTAGTCCTACGGGTAACAGTGATAAGAAAAAGAGGTAGCGTTATGTTTATAACACAGAAAGTGAAGCTGTTGAAATTGGACAGCAGTGTAAGAGTGAAATGTCTTACAGAAGAGTATAGTGTTGGACTGGCCGCCCCAGATGATGTGAAAAACAGAAGGATAAGCTGTTGAAGTTCCATGCTGAAAGCAATGAAGTTAATGAAACAAACGAAAATGCTACATAAAGCTAAAAATGAAGATCTCATTTGTATTGAAAAGAGAGGATCCGTCAACATCACAGTGAACACATGCCACTTAGTCATATTGCTGATCACAGAACAAGTAAAGATCTATCACTACAAACTGAAAACTGAAAGGAGTATTCAACAGGCTGGTTACAGAAATTTAAGAAAAAACGGCACTAAATTTTTAAAGCCTTGTGGTGATAAAGCACTTGCTGATCATGAAGCAGTGGAGAAATTCATTAATGAGTTTGCCAAGGTCATCACTGATGAAAACCTGATGCCAGAAGAAGTTTATGATGCTGATAAAACATCACTGTTTTGTTGTTCTTGCCCCAGAAAGATGCTAGTACAGCTGATAAGATAGTCTCTATAGCAGGGGTCCCCACCCTATGGTGCGCTGTATAATTATTTCATTATATATAACAATGTAATAATAAAGTGCACAATAAAGGTAATGCATTTGAATCATCCCGAAACCATCCCCCCACCCCACCCCCCAGTCCCGGTAGGTGGAAAATGGTCGCTGGTGCCAAAAAGGTTGGGGACCACTGTTCTACAGAAATTTAGGATGCCAGGGACAGAATAACTGTGCTGGGATGTGCTAATACAGCAGGAACTGTAATCCTGCTTAGGTCCTCACTGTTTTTGAGAAGGGAATTTGTTACTAGTCCATTATTATGCTAACACAAGACATGGATCACTACTGACGTCTTTTCTGATTGGTTTCACAAACATTTTGTACCAGCAGCTTGTGCTCGCTGCAGGGAAGCTAGACTGGATGATGACTAAGATTCTTTTATTCCTTGACAACTGTTCTGCTCATCTGCAAACTGAAATCCTCATCAAAAGCAATGTTTATACCTTGCACTTTCCCCCAGATGTGACTTCATTAATTCAGCCATGTGACTGGGGTATCCTTAGATCAATGAAGAGTAAACATAAAAGCACTTTTCTGAATAGCATGCTACCAGCCGTGAACAGAGGTGTGGGTGTGGAAGGTTTACAAAAGGAGTTCAGCACGAAGGGTACTGTATGTTGTTGTCAACACTTGAAACACAATGACTAAAGACAAAGTTGTGCAAGCCTGGCACAACCTCTGGCCTGAGACTATGTTAGTGATGATGATGAACAAGATGGTGACTTTGAAGGACTCTGAATGTCAAATGAGAAAAAAATGATGTTTGAGTTTCTTACGTATGCAAAAAAAATACCTTCAGAGTCCATTAGTAAGCTAGAAAAAGTGGATATCAAAGAAGTGTTTAACATTGATAATGGGGCTCCAGTTGTTCCTTCACTGACCGATGGTGAAATAGCTGAAATGAGGTGATCATAATAATGATGATGACAACAACAACAAAGAAAAAAAACCGACAAAAGAGGAGAAGAAGGGGTGGCGGGATTAAAGAACGACAACAGCAGCAAGTAATCACAAAACAACAAAACATCACAACAGATAAAAAAAAAAAAAAAACACTAAGAAGAGGCTTCTCACCAAAAAAAAAAAACAGACAACAACAACCTAATAAAAAAAAAACACCAAAAAAAGCCCGCCGTTGGCTGGCGCAGCAGCTGTTGAACAACAAGATAAAACAAGTATGCTGATGACACCACGCTGCTAAGTTACCCTGAACTGTATTAATGATATGCATTTTCTACTGTTAAGTATGTATGTATGAAAAGTATAAGAAAATGATTGCTTATAAATTCAGTCAGGAATGATGGTGATGTCAAACAACCAGACTCTACATGGATGGCTGACAGAGTGATGCTTACTGATGGTTCAATGTATACAAACTTTGTTTCATGCACAAAATCATTAAAAATGTATAAAATTACCTGCAGGCTATGTATATAAGGTATACATGAAACATAAATGAATTTAATGTCTAGACTTGGGTCCCATCCTTAAGATATCTCATGTATTTGCAAATATTCCAAAATCTGAAAAAATCCAAAATCCAAAACCCTGCTGATGCCAAGCATTTTGGAAAAGGGATATTCAACCTGCACAGCTAAGAAGCTGGAAAACAGACATTCACGTAGGAAAGCTGTCTTTAAAATATGCTTTCATAAAATTATCATACCTCAAAGTGTAAACAACCTACAAATGCTTCAACAAGTATTCCTAAAATGTGGCGGGGGGTGGAGGGGAGCACTTCTGAAAGTTCTTCAAAAAAGTTCTGAAAGTAGTATAACAATAATATATTCGCTGTACTTAGCTGGCTCCCAACTGTATCCATTTCCCCCTCTGTTCCCTGTACCTGGAATCTTTTTCTTCATTCTCTGCTTGTTGAAATCCTATATATACTTCAAGGTTCAACTAAAATACCTCTCTAATCTAAGAAGTATTTCCTCATTATCGTAATCAGGAGTGAATTTGTCCCTCTCAATTATAAAACACTTTTTTACAGTGATTAACAACTGTTACGGGAGGTAGACTGGCGTAACAGAGAAAACTGGATTCTGGAGTTAGAGAGATTCAAGCTCTTCTACTTTTAGATATATGACAAGGTCGAGAAAGGCAGGTTTCTTTGCTATTCCCTTCTGCATGGTAAGTAGGGCTCTCAGTCACCGTCTCAGTGAAGGAGTAGTCTCACGGAGCCGCAGCTTCCATCGTAAGTCTCCTGTCACAGTCAGTGCCTGTCCAGGGGAGGGAATTCTATCTTCTACCCCTTGCACGACCACTAATGGAGAAGGCTCCAAGTCTCCAGTGTTTGGTAAGAATCATCAGGGAGGAAAAGAGCTTTTGCACTTCTCTCCCAAAATTCCTACTTTTATTTTTTTCCTTTGTGAAATCCTTTTCGCGTCTGTTCAGCAAAAGAGGTGCTACTTTTATCCATCATTTTTGTTATTTTTGTGGTTTCAGTTGGGAGGATCACTTACAGGAATCACTTTGTGATATATATATATAAAGCTAGAATTAATATAATTGCATCATTACCAAAAGTCAGAAGACATCCATGGGCAAAGAAAAAAAAAAATTGTCATCAAACTCATAATAAACCTAAGTACAGAGAACAATCTTCCTCCTAATAGTTTTTGGAGGGATGAGAGATAAGCAAGAAAAGCAAAGCAGCATTAAATCTACCTGTATCTGAGTAGCTCAGGAATTTCCTCAACTGCCTTTCCCACAACTCAGTGCCTTGGAAGAAAGATAATGAAGATGTGTGGAGAATACTGCATCTAAATTATATCTAACCATTTCTAAACCACAAAAAAGAAAAGTTTTGAGAACTAAAGGTGCCCAGGACTTGGTTTCACCAGTGAGTTTAATTCTCCTGAGATTTAGTATAATTAGCAAGTCAATACAACAATGGAAAAAGTATATACAACTCAAGTTATTTTAATCTGAACCACTTTATAGATACTATAAATTTGAAAAACACCTACAATGCAACCAGTGCCCACCACTACGAGGATGAAGATCTAAAAGGAAGTACAGCAGGCTCTTGCCACCTACATTCATTGCTTTACTTACTCCTGAGACAGAAAGACTCATATAAGGTAATATGATATGAAATTTAGCTCATCACACGATATGATGAAATAAAATCTTTCAATAGACAAATACTGCTTTGGTTGACAGTTTATTAAATACACTACATTTGTACCTTATTCTGTAGTTTTTTTTAAATCGTTCACACATGGACTTAGTAAAAACGTATTTTATAGAAAACCACCTGCAAAACTAAAATGAAAATGAGAATGAAAATACTGCACACATATTAGATAAACTGCTGAAATGTTAGAAATTATTTTAATTTAATCCATACAGGTGCTTAATGAAGGCAATCATGAAACATTAGGTGGTTTAATTTTCTTAAATCTGGCACCAGATCAAGACTTCAAAAGTGTTAATGCTGAAATACGGATGCAAACATGTCTATTAACAAAACTGTTTAATCTAATAGTGTTGGAGAAACAAAACAATGTTGTTTTTCTTTTACAGCTATTTTTCTAAATCCATTCTCTATACACTCTCGCCCATTCAGAATTAGTTGTGCAGACTGATGAAGCAAAAACTCAATTTCTTCAAAAAAACAAAACAAAACAAAACACTAGAGCCTATTTACAAAACATGCAAAGGGAGAATTTTAAGCAGGCGAATACAGCTGAGTGACAGAACATACCTTTACTTCTACAAATATAGGTCCTTCCCCCCCATTTTCTGGAAGAAATACATTTTCAGGGCATGGACTATAAAACGGCATACAATGCAAAGACAGAAACAACGAAGTTTGCAAATCTTTTATATTTCCGCTGTTGAGACAATATTTTTGAAAGCTGAGGTTACCTCTAGCGGCGAAACCAGAGCCAGCTATTAAGCAGCCAGAATGCTACAGTAATTGAATACATGACCATTTCCCTTTTAGCACGTTCTTTGTTCTCCTCTTCTAGAAGTTGTAGACGTCTATTTAGTTTGATTATCTAAGTGAAAAACAATAACAAAAAAATACAAAACAGCAGCTTTAATGCATAGAGTAACTGGATTCTTATAAAATAGTATAATTTGTCAAAAGAATTATTACAAACATGTAAACTTTCATCATTTGGAGCAAAATAAACACAACTACCCATAGGAAAAAATGTTACTCATGACAGCTTAAATTCACTTAAATACTCTTTCCCTTCTTCAAATTTCTGAGTTCGAAAGGGTCTATTTCCTTTCTTGCTTGATCAGACAAGGAGCAGGGAAAACTGTTACACACATATTGCTATTCTGGTAGGAAAGACTAAGCACACATTTAGGCAGGCTTACCGCAGCAGGAAGAACACAGTACTCCTGTCCCTTTCTATGCCTCTTCTATGAGCTTCTTGTCACTCAGCCTCTCAGTTATTCATCTTTAACCTGGTTTATACCTGCCTTCTCTGTCCACCTCTCTGAGTTACTGAGAGGGTCCCATAAAATAATCTATTGTAGTGGGTCTTACGATAGGTCACCCAGACCCTTCAGGTCTGAAAGGCTAATTCCCCAGGTGCTAGAAATGTTGCTGGTTGACAGCACCATCCTCAGCTGTTGGTCTTGACTATGAATAGCCCTGAGCTGAATAACTGCTGCCTAAGCTCATGCTCCGTTACTGATTTTTACTTAAAAATACTTTATTTCATCCAATTTCCCTCTACAACTACTTGGCACAGACACAGTGAGAACACCAAATATGCCTTCCCCACATGTGTGTATGTCTGTGTGATTCTAGACGCTGTGGAAGTACACATTAAAAATATGCATAAGCAAAACTGCAGGTCCAAAACAGCACTTATTACAGAAAACAAGAAATATGTATGTAGAGATACTGTGCAAACTGAAAGCAGTGGTTTCCAAAATAGTTATCAAACATAGTAACAAAGGTTCCCAAAGTGATTACTCCACATATCAAAAGCCAAAAAAGCAATTTATGTCTGTACTAGTTCACTAAAATATCAAGATTTTTTAACATCAGCCAGAATTA